ATATATTTAGGCTACTTTACAAATATCATTTCTGAATTGGCCTCCTATTAATACTCTGAACTTCCCAAAAGCCATTCAGGACTCTGATTTCTGATTTATCGGCCTAGTTTCACATGTGTTTTCACATTTTGTGCAATGTAAAATTAAACATTAAAATCAATCCCTCTGCATCATACAGGAACTTTGGAGTTAAATACACTTTAAACATTCAGTTTATACCCTGAAAGGCTTCTTAGTGTCTAGAAATGTTTTCATAAGGCCGTTTTTACACCAAAATGTACAGATTTCATCAGCACTTTGCCGTTCTGAGAGCAGCAACGACAGTGCAATAAAAAAAAGGAAGTTAGAGTCACAGCACCTCCCAGCTCGAGTTGGATCACTTCCTCCTGAATCTGAGGTGATGCTGAACTTCTTGTCTCGGTCGAGAGTCTTGCAAAGGGTCTGCCTCCTACAGTAATGTTATATAGAAAGTTTTGCGAGGTGCAGGGCCGCTATCAGAGGATAAGGCGCTTGAAGGGAGAAGAGGTAGGCCGAATATCAGACACTGCCTCGATTGAGGAGAGCGATGAATTGCCCTGTTGACTTTTGTTGTGGTTTGTTTTGTGTGTGCTTTTTTTTTCTCTTCTCACCTCTAGATGTTCACATTTTCCGAAATGGTTAACTCCTTAGTTGCCTAACATTGGAATCCAGTGTTTATTTGTCATAGTGATTATCTATTTAGTGCATTTCATCCACAACTGACACATTGTTGACGGTGGTGTTTTTGATTTACGGTGCATAATAGAAATTAATATTTCATGTTTAAAATAAGCCAGATGATATTTGTTTCTTTGACTTTTTATTACCAAAAATGGTCGTTTCTATACAGTTGCGTAACTTGGGGCCTGTATTTACAAGTAGGAAGCTGAACTTTGTTACAGGAGAACTTGACAACAATTGAGAGGATGTTTGTGCACGACTCTCTGAATCACAATGAACATGCCCTCAGTTTGAAATGACGTTGCACCTTTTTTCATTTTTTACGATATTGCACAAACAAGCAGGTGTGCCCACTCAGGTCATTTTTTGCATAGCATACTTATTAGCTCCAATCTGGGGTGCTCAAGTCCTGTAAATTTAGTAATGGCAAACAAGCACCTTGTTTTGGAGCATGAAAATTACAGGTGGTGCAGTAAATTACTTTGCAGAAATGCCATTAAAGAAAATGACGAGCAATTCAAGTTATTGGGTTTAAACTGACGTGCCATTACGGTGCATATTTGAGCACTAGGTGTTAACGGCTGTCACCTGTTGTAATATTTCTTATACTTCTTCTGGCGCAGGAAAAAGAAAAGGAAAAGAATCGGGAGAAAGACCGAGATGCCAAAGAGAGAGAGAAGAAATCAGTGAATGGACACGTGTTCAGCACGTCAAGCTCGCTGCATCCAGCTTTGTGCCAGCAATGCAACAAAACCCTCAACACTAAAGATACTGTCAACTGCACAAGTAAGAAGCACTTCATCATTGAGGGTTTCAGTACATGCACACCTGGTATTAACGCCGTTTTTATTATTTACTCCCTAATACTAGATTTTAGTGGGTATATCCTTTCATCATCTTTATTTAACAGGAAAAATCGCAGAATCATGTGCAGGATGTATATATAATAGAAATGATTTTTGCTTATTAGTATGAAAATAGAATACAAAAACATTTTTCAAAGTGAAGGGTGATTTAAAGATTTCAAGATGCATTTCAAAAGACTCATTGCTTAAAAATAGGAAGCAGTTCTGGTAACATCATTCACTTCCTCATGGAGCTGCTGAAGAGAAAATCCTGTTCATTCAGGGAGAAGTCTTTTTTGTATTGTTTCTGTGCTTTTCCCCCTCTTTGTTTGTTTTATATTTTAATCGCATATTCATATTCATATTTATGTGTATAAAATTCCTGTAAGTTCTCATCGAATTTATTTTAGCATCTGTCCATAGCCTTATATCCCAACCAATACATCTATATAAAAATAATAAATAAATAAATTATAAACCGTAAAGGCAATTATTTTAAAGGGGTCCTATGACGCGATTTCTTGTTTTCCTTTCTCTTTGGAGTGTAACAAGCTGTTTGTGAATAGATAAGATCCGTAAAGTCGCAAAGACTAAAGTCTCAAACCCAAAGAGATATTCTTTATAAAAGTTAAGACTTGTCCACACACTCCTAAAACGCCTAGTTTAAACACGCCCCCACATGTCTACGTCACTGTGTGGGAAGATTTGCATAACACCGCCCTAATGTATACGCAAAGAAAGAAGGTGTAACTTTTATTCTCGCTGTAGTATTGTTGTCATGGAGATGCTGTGTGCTTCCAAATATGGTAAGGGGCGTAACATTTCCGTCACATACTTGAGGTATTCGGGCCAATCACAACGCACTAGAGCGCTGGCCAATCAAAGCACTCCTCGCTTTTCAGACCGATGAGCTTTGTAAAAATCGACGCGTTTCAGAAAAGCGGGGCATTGAGGAGAAACAATAATATACAGTTTGTGGAAAATAATGTGTTTTTTTAACCTTAAACCGCATAAACACATTGCATTACACCAAACACAAAATAATGTTATTTTTAGCATCGTCATATGACCCCTTTAATTATTTTTTATAATAAGTATGAATACTAAACAAGGAAAATATACTATATAGTTGATTCAGATAATTTGTAATTAGTTCTCTTTTGGGTTTGAAAGTGTTGCTGTGTTTATGAATACAGTATTTTCTCCAGGATCCATCTGATGACATGATCAGTGTGGTCAGAGTTTTGATCTTTAGGACAGATGTGTATTTCTTGATCTTGTTGGCATGTTCGTGGCATTTAAATTGTGTGCTTGGAGTTTCCTGACTGGAAGGAATTCCTAAGCCTACTGTCTTTACCACCTTGACCAAGAGCCAGAATAGCCAACACAATTACTTGCGTTAAACTATATTAAAACTATATTAAAATATATGTTTGGTCATAGAGGTGAAATCTTTGCAAAGAGAAAAAGCTGTGTTTATGCTTGGGTGGCAAAACTGAAATATAAAGCTCCGTTCACACTACAAGCGACACGTAACAACAAAGCGACACAATCCCATTCATTTCAATGGAGAGCTGACGATTTCCGGCGACAGCGACGTGATGGGGCGTGTCCAGCGACGCGACAAAGTTCAGAATCCTTCAACTTTATGCAAATGAAGAGCAACTTTCGGGAGCGACAGCCAATTGGAAAGAAGACGGTAGAGCTCATGTGATCGTTCTCCTCTCAGCCATAGATAAACATACGCAATGGAAGAAAGTAGGCTCTGTTTCTCATTAATTTTTGTTTGTATGTACGGATTTAATTTAGATTTAGATTATATTTAGTCGTTTGCCTCCAAATTGTTTGTACTTAGCGGCAAGAAACCTGATTCGCTGTCAAGGCAACCAGTATTGAGAACGCCCACTAGCAACCTCATCACCAGCCCCTGGCAACATGCAAAAACAGCAAATACAAAAGTCGCTACTAGTGTGAATGCAGCTTAATACTATATGCTTACAGCATCTGGAATGTAGCATCTTTATTAAAGAAGTGAATTGCAAATGAGTACTTTCCTAATGTTTTCTATTGACGTGTTTTTTGCAGATTGCAATGTGAGAGTTCACAAGAGTTGTAGAGAAAACGTCCCGGTTTGTCCCAAAAGCAGAATGAAGGTTTGAGTTTTTTTTAGTTTTTTTTTAAATGTACCGTATCCTTTGTTACACATCAAGAAAAGTGTTTGCATTGTGTTCTGTTTCAAATCTCTTTTTTTTTTTTTCTGCTTCATAAACAACAGTTTGCTATACCAGAGTCCACCACTATGCCTGTCGTCACTCTACGAACAAAATGTGGGTTTGTTGGCTTTCTTTCTCTTTTTATATTCTTATTTTTTCATGTCAGCTGATCCTAATGTTGCATGTGATTTTGTGTGCAGCATCCACACTGCGGGAACGGCCCTGGTCTGCTATCTTTTCTCCAGAGGAACATTCTGTGATTGTCCCGTCCAGACGACCCACCAGTATTATGCCCTTCCACAGCAGCAACCTCTCGAAAAGCATGTCCATCAACAATATTGCAATGTTAGTGCATAAACACATACACCAACAAGTATTGTCAGGTTTTAATGTTTGTATATATTTTAATATTTATAAGTATTGTCAGGTTTTAATATTTATATATATATATATATATATATATTAATCATTGGAGCTTTTTTAATGTAGAAAATTATATATGTTATAGAGAGCCAAAAAAGAAAATGCAACAAAATCACAAGCTAAAATTAAAATGAAAAAATGAAAGTATACAACTAAAAATAGATGCAAATTCACAACATGAATAAATACTATAATTTTATATAATAATACTACAGTTCACTGCACAGTATATACTGTTTACTGCTAACTATTAAAAAAAGATGCATGTGAAACTATACAGTATGCAATGATGAATTAACAATAACATGCACATTGCCTCATTATGTTGCATGTTTTCAATCAACATGTGTCCAGTTATCATCTTGCCAATTTATGCAGAAATTGTGTTTTTGAATTTAATTTTGTGTTGAAACTTCCTACCTTTTGGAAGTTCAATCAAGTAAGCCACTAAGTAGACAGTTGTAGACATTATAATCCTAATAAAAGATCAAGTCAAGCTTATTACATTGGTGGGAAACAGTATCTAGCACAGTGTCCCTAATATTATTCACATTTGGTCAAATATAATAGGTTATATTGGTGTTAAGTGCTTATAGACAGTGTTCATACTGTGCAAAGCATGCATACTGCATTCTTAGTATGAGTAGTGTGGTAGTATTATGCCATTCCCAACATACAAATGAATTGCTGACTCTTACAAATGAAGATACTGATTCACAGCCAGTGAATCTGTCAGTAGGACACTTGACCTTACTGGCCTTCTGTTATAACCACAGCACCTCAACCTCTTCCTGCAGGTTTGACGATACGCCTCTGAGAAGCAGGCGGTATCTGTCTCAATCCACAGACTCCCTCCACAAACCCAACAAGGTTACAGCGTCCAATGAGTCTCTAGATGAAGGTAAGCAGCCATATTTCTCTCACAAGCTTCAAAGAGCTTTCAAACAAATGAACAAGTAATTAATTGTTTAGTGCATGTATGTGGTGCTCGTCTGGGAGACCTGGTTTTGCATCTGGCCTGTGTTTTGTCATTTTCTTCTTATTTCCTGTCGTTCCTCACTTTCGCTATCAGTGAAAAGGCTGTTTAAAGTTGTGTAAATGTTTCCGTAAATTTTTCTAGTAATGCATGAGTAAACATTTTCTTTGTCGCTAAAGGAACCGAGATGGTTGACAGCCGGCTGATGGGAGACTTTGAAACAGATGTTAAGGAACTGGAGGCTGACTCCTGGAGCCTTACTGTAGATAAGAAATATCTGAAGCAACTCAAGAAGGACGTCATCAAGAGACAAGATGTCATCTATGGTAGGACTGTGGTAGAATTGAATGCATTTCCATTAGTTTATGTTCAAAAGCATTTGCTGTTTTGTGAGTTTTTATTCACAAACTCTGACTAAATGAATGCAGAATGTGTCCAGGGTAAAGTGTCTGCTAAACATGGTTATAATAGTTAACTACAATTAAAACAAAAACAGACAAATATAATATATATATATATATATATATAAATATGCTTATAAATAAAAATTCACTGCTGTAAAAATATCTCCGATTCCATAGGATCTGACCCACCATAGAAGGCTCATCATGTTTATTTTTTAAACCATTTTTGTCATCTTTTTCTCATGGTTAAAAAGCTACTGTTCGGAGCTTCTGTGTTAATAGGTCCTTGATTGAGCATAAAACACTGAAAAATTGAAGACTTGTTAATATTAATTTTTCTTATTTTTTGGTTTAATGCAGCACAGAGCGAAGAATCCCTTCTTGTGTGTTTTTTTCGGTTGCGGTGAAGCACCAAGAAACACGTATCAGTGTATGTCTCTGTGTAAGTGTGACTGTAGTTTGTCCTGTAAGCGTCTCAGTGTGAATGTGGATGAGGGGTCTTTTTCTGTAGTCTCTGCTAGTGTTTTAGTACTGCGTCTATGTCAAGCAGCGCTCCACGTTGATGCCCTCCTCTGCGTGGACCTTATTAATATAAAATAAAAACTAATTCAACACAAATATTTTTTTTATAAAAATAAAAACTAATTAAAATAAAAATATAATAGTATTTCAATGATACTAAAATAACACTGCTGCTAATTTTTGATTGATTGATTTTTTTTTGGTTGTGAAAGTGTTGACATTTACATGATAAACATGCATCCAACTTTTACATGGAAATCTCAAAGAGTTTACATCTTCATTCACGGACTCAGAAGCAATAAGTATGCTAAATGTTGCTTTTCCAGATATCTGGATCTAAACATCCTCTTCCTTTATCAATCCAGAGCTGATCCAGACGGAGATGCATCACCTGCGGACGTTACGGATCATGTCTGATGTGTACAGTAAGGGCCTGCTGACAGATCTCCAGCTGGAGGGCCAGATGGTGGAGAAGATGTTTCCCATGCTGGAAGATCTCCTGGAGCTCCATTCGTTCTTCTTCAGTGCTCTGCAAGAGAGGAAGAAGGAAGGCAAGCTGGAAGGGACGGATGGATTCATAATCAACAGGATAGGAGATGTGCTGTTCAGCCTGGTGAGGACCTTTGATTATATATATTAATACGTTTCTGTGTTTCAATTTAAGGACTTTGTTTATTTGTGTACTTGTGTACAGTATACTGTGTTGGGTTGCCACTTAAATGTAAAACTTGGATTCTGTAGCAAAACCGGTTTTGAAGCACCTCACTATACTACACTGTTATATCGTTCTTTGCTGTGATAATTTGATATACTGTACTCTTCTGCATGGCACTGTTATGCTATACTATATTATACTAAATGGTTAGAAATTTTATTTTTTAAATTTACTTAAATTTACTTTTTAATATTCAAGTTACTTGCTGTCTTAAAAGTAAAAGTTGTACGATATTTAAATCCTGCAGTCATATGTTCATTGCACTTCAGTTTGCTTACTAATGGAGTTGAAACTCCAAAAACTGGAAAACTGGTAGAAATTGAGTAGAAATGATTACTCTATTATTATTATTATGTCAAGTTTAATGGATGAAAGAAAAAAAAATGATAGCAATGATAGAAAAATATCTTCACAGATTCATTTATTATTTAATAGCATTTCTCAAACTAGAGTTGTAAAAATAATTAAATCTTTAAAAAATGCAATGTAATAATTCTAAATATTATAATAAGTAATTAATACATAATAAAAAAAAATCATTTTAAAATAAAAATATTTTAACATATTTTACAAATATAGATTTTATAGATTAAATATTTTTTTAAATGTCATTAAATATTATGTCATGTGACCATTAACCAACATCAAAAAACTGTGAATGTGCAAATGTGTTGTTAAATTATTAAAATATTAACTTATTAATCTCAGATGATACTTCAAGTAAATATTTTAGGCCAAAGGGGTTTGGTTGATAAAAAAGTTTGGGAATACATAAGTATAGTAATATTACTAAGTTTGCTATACTACATTACTTGTGGGTGGTAATGTTGGGTTATATTGTGTTAAATTATATCTTATTAGCATAAAAAGGCGTTTGGTTCAGTTTGACATGCATACGTCAACTTGAATTATACAGAAGATTCATTGTTCATATCCAAGCTCCTGTTTTGATTTATGCCAGATGATGTGCTTCAGTTCTCAGACTCCAATGCAGAAAACATGAAGAAAATCTATGGCAGATTTTGCAGTCGACACAGTGAAGCAGTGAACTTCTACAAGGAGCTGCACACCAGGGACAAACACTTCCAGGCATTCATCAGGGTAAATGCCTCACTTCATTATGTTCGTGCATTTAGTGGGAAGAATGACCAAGATACCTAATGATCCTCAATGTGCTCTTGTTTCCAGAAAAAAATGAGCAGCAGTGTTGTCCGGCGTCTGGGCATCCCAGAGTGCATATTACTGGTGACTCAGCGCATAACAAAGTACCCGGTGCTTTTACAGAGAATCCTGCAGCACACCAAAGGTGAGATTTAGCTGTCAGGGGTTCTAGCGTCTTCTGCTGACCACAAAGCGATTTAGTCTTAAATCTTATTTTTAAAGAAATCAATCAGTCAATTCTTAGCAATAGTGTTTGGGCTAAATGGTTACTCTAGCAGAAAATGTATATTTTGTGGGAGCTCTAATTTTGTGACCTATGTGACGCAGTCTCATTTCCCCTCTCATTCCCAATAATTTTTAATAAATAGACAAAAAAAAAAGTAATAATATATATTTTTTCTTTTTTTGGAAAGAAAAGACTTTTATTCGGCAAGGATGCATTAAATTGATCAAAATTGACTGTAAAGACATTTATAATGTTACAAAAGATTTCAGATTTAAAAAACTGTTCTTTTGAGATTATACAAAATGTTTCTTGAGCACTATATCAGCATATTAGAGTGATTTCTGAAGGATCATGTGACTCTGAAGAGTGAAGTAATAGCTGCTGTAAATTCTGTAAACTGTAAAATTCTGTAAAACTTTGATCACAGGAATAAATTACATTTTAAAATAAATATTTACATTTTAAATTGCATTTTTACATTTTAAATTGCATTTTAAAAGAAATATTCATAATCACATTAAAAAAATTAATTGTAAGAGCAGACAAAACCACTCATGTAAACATTTTATTTTATTTTATTTAGTTTTATTTTATTTTATTATTTTTACTACTGAGTCATAAGATTAAAATACAAATTTCCATCAAAGGTACACACAAAACATTGCTCACGTCAACATAAATAGTTTTGCATTGTTATTTGTGCTTTTAAGTAAAAACTGAATGTTTTAATGTTAAAAAAAAATAGAAAACAATTATTCAGGATTGTAAAAATCTTTCTCAATAGTGTCAATTTTTAAAAAGAAAATGCCTATTTTTTTGCTGGTACTATTCTGTATGATAGATTGAGACATCACTGGCCACTTCCGAAGGTCGTGATCTCCTCCGATTTAGTTTGTTCTCAGTGTCCTTTCCTAATACACAGAGATGATGAGATAACAAAACAAGACAAAAATGAGACAAGCAGACACTATAAAACTGGACTTGAGCCAGAGACGCTGGCAAAAAGCAAAGTCGAGCCTCAGTTCTCCAAAGCGACTCGCCTGTCAGTGTTTAAATAGCGCTCCAATATTTCACTCTCAGTAAACACGCTTGTCTTAAGGAGGGGGCCAGTGCCGCAGTGTGTAAACATTCCACATTTACCACAAATCACTTCCAACTGTTGCACAGCCAGTCTGAAAGGCTTTTTGGTCACGTTCCCAACAAAGAGATTTTAATGTGAATTAGAGCGTCAAGTATAACAAAAATCCTTTCTGGGGCAATTTGAGAAGGAGCTTATAGCTCTCAAGAGGATTTTATCCTGCCACTCTAATACTATAATGAAACAAAATGGACTGGTTTATTGTTTATAGGAATTTATTTCAATTCAATTTCATATGAACCTGTGTGTTTGTGCAGAGACCGAGAAGGATTTTGAGGACTTGACGCAGGCTCTACAGCTGGTGAAAGATATCATTGCTTCAGTGGATAGTAAAGTGAACGAGCATGAGAAGAAGAAAAGGTTGAAAGAGATCTACGGCCGTACGGACAGCAAGTCCATCACGCGCATGAAGAGCGGCCAGATGTTCGCCCGAGAGGATCTGCTGCGCAGTCGCAGGCTTCTCCGTGATGGTCCTCTGCAGCTGAAGAACGCTGCCGGGCGACTGAAGGGTAAAACTCTCGAATGCTGTCACTGTAAATCTTGATAGACCTAATTTCTTCAACAGTGTATAGAAGAAAACTGTCCACTTCTTACAACTTTTATATGTGGGTGATTCTTCCATTTCATAAAAATGAAACTCCTTCAGACTATGCTATCTGTGTTAAAGATCCTATGTGCTGAAATCTGATCATGTGCTCGATCAGCCTTCAATTGAGATTACTGAGAGTTGGTAATAATGTGTGATTGTAATGGCATTTTTCACTTTTTGAGGGAAAAGTTAAATAAACCGTTCAATTAAAAGGGTTAGTTCACCCAAAAATTTAAATTAGGCTGCGTTTTACTCACCAATGCAACACCCTCTGAGTGGCATTAAACAGCTTGAAAGATCAAAGACAATTTTTAATATAACTCCGACTGGATTCGTCTGAAAGAAGAAAGTCGTATACACCTAGGATGCCTCGGGGGTGAGTAAAACGCAGCCTAATTTTCATTTTTGGGTGAACTAACCCTTTAATGTTTATAAATAAAAAGAAAATCTGATCATTTTTTAGGAAAAAGTAATTAAAGAAACTTTATTTATTTAAATAAATAATTATTAACTTCATTATTTACGGGGCTGTCTATTTACACTAAGTGCAAATGCCTTGTTGCCGAGGCTATTTACACTAACTCCGCCCACCAAAAAGTTATTGGTGTAGTCAACACTACAAAAGATGACCGTCAAAGCGTCTTTTTGACGCGATTGACCCAAGTTCGAATCCACCTTTTGCCGAACTTTTTTTTTTCCTCCCTTTTCAAATCTCATATCACATCGGAAAGGCATTTATTTTCAATAAAAATGATGACAACTTTTATATGTGGGTGATTCTTCCATTTCATAAAAATGAAACTCCTTCAGACTATGCTATCTGTGTTAAAGATCCTATGTGCTGAAATCTGATCATGTGCTCGATCAGCCTTCAATTGAGATTACTGAGAGTTGGTAATAATGTGTGATTGTAATGGCATTTTTCACTTTTTGAGGGAAAAGTTATCTTTTTGACGCGATTGACCCAAGTTCGAATCCACCTTTTGCCGAACTTTTTTTTTTCCTCCCTTTTCAAATCTCATATCACATCGGAAAGGCATTTATTTTCAATAAAAATGATGCAAATAATCAAAAGGTTGAAAATAAAGTATCGGGTAGGGTTAGGGTAGGCTTTATTGTCCCAATAAGGTGGCATTCATTTAATAATTTTAATTAAAATTATAATTTACACTCAATACATTATTATTGCATACTGTTTTATAATGCACTACTATACTGAGGCACAGATAATTGGAACTATTTGCAATCAGTAGTATAAATAGAAGAAAATCCTGCTATTTTAACAATGTAAATATAATCTATAGCTATTTGCGCTTGGTGTAAATAGCATATCGCTAAGAAAATACTGCGATTTTCACTTCGTGTAAATAGCATATCGCTATTTACATTTAACTCAAATAGCCACTGCCATTTATTTACTTTATCATCACAAGGAACAAAATCACCCGTGTAAACCTTTTTTGTTTTACTTTACTTTTATTTTATTTATTTATTTATTTATTTTTATCACTAAATCATAAGATTAAAATAAAACTTTATCAAAGGTACATACAAAATATTGCATATTTCCACATAAATAGTATTAATAAATTATGGCTCTGTATTATTTATAACATTAATGGTTCTAAATAGGGATGCACCGATACCACTTTTTCCAGTACTTGCCCGATACCGATACTTTTATTTTTGGTACTTGCCGATACCGAGTACCGATACCGATATTTTTATTGCATTTGTACATTTTTTAAATATTGGGTACAGAAACCAAAAGGGTATGTATAATGTTAGTTGGTTAACTTCATTTATCAAATAGATACAGTCAAACCAAAATTTATTCAGACACCTTCAACATTTCTCACATTATCACAGTTTATTTGCTATAGTTTAGAAAATGGTAATAAAATATGACAAGAACTCAGAGTTAAACTGTGTCAGAACAAATTAATCTTGATAATGCTAGATAATTTTGATAGAAAGGTATGTAATGGATTACAATCAACCAAAATAATTCAGACAGCTGTTAGTATGACAGTATTTACACAACTATGAATACTTAGTCGGGCAACCCTTAGCCTCAATGACAGCAACAACCTCAACTTCAGTTTTTTCCCCAGACTCAATTTTACTGGTAGTCCACTGTATGAAGAATTTTTGGGTATGATTTGTCACAGTTTACTTTATTTTGCTATCCTCACTTACATAAATGAACTATAGTGTCCTGCACCCACTAGTAAAAAAATATCAAAAATTATATTCTGCTCTCTGAATAATTTTTGGTTTGACTATATCCTTTTTCACACTTAATTATGCCCATTAAAATGTATTTTACAAGTTTTTGTTACTTTCACTGTTCATTTTTTTGCTCTATGGTACATCATCTTTAATTTAATAGCATTAGAGCAGCGGCTTAGTACTGTAATCACGCGCTTTGCTGTAAAAATGCAGGGAACCACTCGCTATAAATCTCCTAACTGTGATATTTTCAGAAATAGAAGTCGCGTTTTTTCATCTGAAACGTGCTGCGATTTATATTCCAAAGCCACTCATATAATGCAGAAACACTCAAGCAAGCAAAACACACGCAACGCCTGCACGTGTTTGTACTGATGCAGAATAGTACAGTCTAGCGCATTTCACACAGGCTGCTAGATTCACTTTCGCTAGAAAGCCGTGTATGCCTAAGGTTGAAAATAAATGATGATTATAGTGAATGCCCCTATGAATGGTTTTATTTGTACGATTTCGTTTTAATTCAAATGATGCGTGTGCTCAGTGAGTGAACATCAAAGATCACACAACAGAAGTGCGCGCGTGCTCTCTCTCGCTCTCTCCCTACCGTTAAGTAACTTGTGCATTGTTTTACTTACTTGTCTTTGACATATCCGACCGAACTATAAACTTTCCAATGATGTCTGTGAGAAAGGTATATTCACTCGACAAGCTCGCGCATCTGCGCCGCCGCGCGCTCAATCCACTCAGCGTGCTTTGTTTATCAGCTCGCACACATCAGCTATACAGGCGTTAATACTGAATGTTTAACATTATATTCATTGCATACATATACTTCGTAGTAGACATCCATAACTCCTTTCTGCTGTCTGTTGTCAGTGTTTCTTTGTTTAAATATGGCGCTTATCACATGCTGTGTGGTATCGGCGTTTGGTATCGGGGCATTTTAACGAGTACGAGTACAGGAGCTCAGTATCGGGCCCGATACCGATACCAGTATCGGTATCGGTGCATCCCTAGTTCTAAATATAAAAATTTAATATTTTGGAACTTAATGTTTACTGTAACAGCAGCATCATCTTTTTTTTTTATCCTTAGATGTCCACGCACTTCTTCTTTCTGATGTCTTTTTGTTCCTCCAAGAAAAAGACCAGAAATATGTTTTTGCATCTTTGGTGAGTGATTGGATTTTGTGCTCTCTTCTTCACTAGATAGTAGGTTTAAAATCAACTTGAAATCAGAACTGACATCATTAATACACAAAGTGATTAATCAGTTTTGATATGTCAGACTGAAGTCATTCAGCTACAACAAAAATGCATTAGTATATGTTGAAATTTACATGAATGAAGGTTAACAAATGCTGTAGAAGTACTGTCTATTCTTAATTCATGCTAACTAATGTAGTTAACTAACAAATGCTGTAGAAGTACTGTCTATTCTTAATTCATGCTAACTAATGTAGTTAACTAACAAATGAAACCTTATTGTAAAATGTTAACCATATTTTTTAATAATGCACTTTTGTCAAGTTTCTTCACGGCTTTCATCATTCGTGTTTTTACAAAGCTTTTTCTTTGAAACCTAGGACATTTCTTGTTCTATTCCATGATGCACTGAGAACGAAAGTATCATCCACTGTTACTTTGGATTAGTTTCATCATGAATTTCTAAATAGACCTATGTTTTGCATTTGGAGAAACATACGTGTTTAATTTGACCTAATGTCTGAGGAAATATTGTGTTTATTGTAAAATGTGGCCATATGATGGTATATTAAATTGAATACTTTGGTTTAGAGATGACTGAATACACATATTGCACTACAGTGTTGATGTTTTCTCTCCTCCTCTGTTTCCCATCTCTCTCTTTCTCTTTCTGCATATTCTTCCGGCTTCACTCCGCCCTCCTCATTCTGTGTCTCACGCTTCCTCATCTCATCAACAGGACCAGCGAGCCACCGTTATTTCCCTGCAGAAGCTGATCGTGCGAGAGGTGGCCCACGAGGAGCGCGGCCTCTTCCTCATCACCGCCGGCATCGCAAACCCCGAGATGGTGGAGGTTCACGCCAGTTCCCGAGAGGAGCGCAACACCTGGATGCAGCTCATTCAGGATGCCATGCACTCAGTGTGAGTACCAGATATTCACAGCCTTACCTTTACATCGGGGACATTCACTGCACAGGATTGAAGAAATAGCTAAAGCTGAAAACAAGATATTTGAGAAGCAAAATTGCATGGGATAGTAAGGGACTGGGAGTATATTTTCTTTACTCTAATGCAAATCATTTTTTCTTGTGCCAAGCATAAATCTAAAACTAAATCTATGGTTCATTAACAAGCTGTTTTCTCATTTAAAGCATGAACCTCATTAAACTAAGAAAAGTAAAAATAATAGTGAAATAATAGTCTTTGTAGGCTTAATAGCTTATTTTTTCTTCTTCAGTCATCTTGATTTATGGATATTTAGATAATTTACTGGAAGACAAAAATAATACGGATTAAAAAAAAATATTTTTTTTGCATTGTTGATCGTTTTAAAATGAGTTATTTTAAAAAGTACAGATTAAAAATAATTAAAAAAATGACTAAAATATTTAATTATTAAAAATTGCAAGGGTAGTTGGATGGTATCATTCAGAAAATACCAGGAAATGTATAAAGTGAAATGTTTTGTGTGTGTGTGTGTTCACACAGAGAAAAGGATGATGATGAGGGGATCCCGAGTGAAACAGAGGAAGACAGGAAGCTACTTGAAACAAAAACAAAAGAAATGAGAGGTGAACAGCTTTCTTGCTGTTAGTTTAGCTCTTTGCCCTTTTTCATAGTTTGTGTTTATATATATATATATATATATATTTTTTTTTTTTTACCCCAGCGACTTAAGACTGCTTTTGTGGTCCAGGGTCACATATTTCTTTTAGTATAAATGAATAATTCTAAAAAAAGTTATCAAAATTGTTTTTGTTTCGTAATGTGTGTGTGTGTGTATAGATATGCACTACTACTTTTTTAATGAAGCTAGAAGCATTAAAGCCACAAATAAAATGTAACTGAGGAGTTTGAGGCTGATTTTTTATATTAAAATGAACTGATTCAGAAGAGTTGTTGCTTATGAATCACTTGAAGTACTGTATATTGCATACAGTCAGCAAAGACAATGCAAGATAATTTTTTTATCAGTTTTTTATCTTTCTCTTATTTTGTGGTTTTCTCGTCACATTCAAATTAGACTTCGAGTTAATTAAACCTGAAGATTAAAAGATAAAAATGCAGATGTTTGAGACCCTAATTATGATAAATCAGCAAATAACAAAACAACCTCCTTTCTTTCTTAGACATGCTCCAGAGGAAAGATGAACAGATCGTATCACTCCTTCTGGAGAAGATGAAGCTTTTCCGTGAAATGTGCGGTTCGTCCGACGACACGGCTTCGGCGGTCAAAATGCTCTTCAGGACCAACAACGAGGACGTCCTCAAGGGAGAACCCATCATGATGGACGCTCTCAGAGAGGGTAAGAAATGCCGCCAGCGTCTTCAGCTGCTCCCCACCTGTTGTCTGGAAGCTGATTGTGTTAGTTATTTGTGTTGTTATCAGCTGTGGCAACATCTCATTTCCAGCTCTAATGTTCTTCCAGGACTAGTAACTCACTTAATGTAATGCGGTTAGTGACGTGCGTGTGTTTATGTGGCAGTGGAGATGTTGCAGGCGCTGGTGAACAGCAGTCTGGGAGGGGCGGTGGGACAGCAGGTGGCCTGCGCTCCGGGGAACATGGGACCCGTGTGTCTGCCACGCAGAGCCGAGACCTTCGGAGGGTTTGACAGCCACCAGATGAACATCTGCAAACGTGAGACATTTCATGTACTTCATGTGTCTATTCAGGCAGTTTAGCTTGCAAAACAACTTTATGTACCTCTTTTACCAAGTTTTTTTTTTCTTCGTTTCATTCACAAAACGTTGTAAATCTTCTGTATGTAAAGCACAGTTACTGATTTGATCCTGCTCACAGTCATTGTGTTTGTGTGTGTGTAGATGGTGACAAAGAGGAAGCTGAAGACCTTCGGAGGACAGAATCTGACAGTGTACTGAAGAAGGTAGGAAGCCTATAAGAAATTAGCTTTAGTCCAAGCTAACACAATATTACCAAGTCAGTATTCAAATTTATGTTAGTTATTCTGAACGTATAAATATAAATCCTGAATATTTAAGTTGAGTAGTTTGAGTAGTTGTTTCAGTACATATTCAAATATACCGATGTCAGTCTTGGATATGTCATTGTAAATCTGATTATTTATAATTCTAGTATATGAATGTAATGAATATGGATGTTATAATATTAATAAATTAATATATGTATGTGTGTGTATATACAATACTGTAAACAAAGGTTTGGGGCCAAGATTTGTTTTATTTTGGAAAAATTTTTATACAGGCCAAGCTAACACAATATTACCAAGTCAGTATTCAAATTTATGTTAGTTATTCTGAACGTATTAATATAAATCCTGAATATTTAAGTTGAGTAGTTTGAGTAGTTGTTTCAGTACATATTCAAATATACCGATGTCAGTCTTGGATATGTCATTGTAAATCTGATTATTTATAATTCTAGTATATGAATGTAATGAATATGGATGTTATAATATTAATAAATTAATATATGTATGTGTGTGTATATACAATACTGTAAACAAAGGTTTGGGGCCAAGATTTGTTTTATTTTGGAAAAATTTGTATACATTTATTCAGCACGCACACATTAACTTCATAAAAAGTGACAATGAAGACACTGAAGATATTGAAGAATCATTTTTAATTATGTTCTTTTGAAGTTTCTGTTCATCAAATAATCCTTAAATAATAATTAAATAATATTATATACTGTCGTATAAACATATATTATACTGTTTTCAACATAAAATTTTTTTTTCCTTAGTGCCAAATTGTCGTATTAGAATGATTTCTGAAAGATCATGTGACACTGAAGACTGGAGTAATGATGCTGAAAATTCAGCTGTGCATCACGGGAATAAATTACATTGTACAATATATTTTAATAGAAAAGTTTCTCTAAATTATACAAATATTTCATATTGCGGTTATTACTGTATTTTTGATCAAATAAATGCATGTTAAGCATAAGATACTTTCAAATTTTTAAATTTTTTATTTTTACCACCCCAAACTTTTGAACGGTAATGTTATACATTTATAAATATAAATATCTCACTGAAGTCTCACTATGTAAGCTGTTGAGTCTGAACAAAGGCATTTTCTGTTTTAATGGATTCATATAAATCACATATATGAAGAACTAATCTAAATATTAATCGGGTGTATTAATTAATTTTAATATCCTCCAACTTTAGTAGGATTGTTGCTTATCTGTTTTTAAGTTGATGCAACTGAAAGCTTGCTGGTTTTAAATTCATTGTTTTACACATTCTGCCACAGTTTTGTTTACATAACATCCAGGTGAAAGGCATGGCGTTAAAAAGTGAATAAATAAATAAATCAATAACATCCAAGTGAAATCGGCACTCTTAAAAATAGTGTGATTTATTTTTCTTAAATATTCATTTCTAATGACTGCTGTGCTTCTGTTCTAAATAAAAGTCACACAATGACTATAAACGCTTGTTTTCCAAATTGTGAAACTCGTGTATTAAATAAATTCAATGCACACAGACTGAAGTAGTTTAAGTCTTTGGTTCTTTTAATTGTGATGATTTTGGCTCACATTTAACAAAAACCCACCAATTCACTATCTCAACAAATTAGAATACACAAAAATAGAATTTTTTTTTTATAACATCCTGTCAGGTTTTGTAGCTAATGGGAGACATTAGGGCAGCGAGTGGAAAATGAATAAGCGTGCATTAGGAGTGCCCAGCATCGGCTGACTCTGTAATGTGTGTAATGAGCAGCGGTGTGCTGGGCTCAGACCTGCGCTCGCTCTGTCTGGTGCTGGGCTGATTAAACACTCTCAGCTGGGCTCAGTAAAGCTGCAGTCTCTGCTTGTCTGCTCCACAGGGAGGAAACGCCAACCTACTGCTCCTGCTGAAGACAAACAGCGAGGTAAGACAGGAGAGCATGCTTATTTTAGAGTTCAGGGTGTTATCCTTCAGCGCTCCTTGGGGCTGTGGATGACGCTTTTAGCTTGCAGAACTGGGAAAGAATTAAAGTGTACTTGGGTAACATGTAACAGATGATGTAAGACAATTGTGACAACTGTTCTGTAAAACATTTTGAACATGATTCCTTGAATAAGTGTTAGATATTATCAGTTGTATGTATCTTTTGTGATGAGTATATACATTTTCATGACTTTTTGCTTGCTTTTTTGAGATCGAGACAAATGACCATCTTTCTTGATGGCTTGTGTTTCCTGACAGCAGATCCTGACTAGTGTCACTCACCTTCATGACCTCCTCAGCTCGCTTCAGGTGTGTATTTCACAGTCGATATTATACTGTATGTGCTGATGTGCCAAACAAGAATTCAAAAATACAGTAAAAAAGATGATCATTTTGAACATGATTCCTTGAGTAAGTGTTAGATATTATCAGTTGTATGTATCTTTTGTGATGAGTATATACATTTTAATGACTTTTTGCTTGCTTTTTTGAGATCGAGACAAATGACCATCTTTCTTGATGGCTTGTGTTTCCTGACAGCAGATCCTGACTAGTGTCACTCACCTTCATGACCTCCTCAGCTCACTTCAGGTGTGTATTTCACAGTCGATATTATACTGTATGTGCTGATGTGCCAAACAAGAATTCAAAAATACAGTAAAAAAGATGATAAATATTAAAAAGCAGTAAAAACTGTAATAGTGAAATATTATTATGATGTATTGTGATGCAAAGCTGAATTTTCAGCATCATTACTCCAGTCTTCAGTGTCACATGATTCTTCAGAAATCATTCTAATATGCTGATTTGCTGCTCAATTCTTATTATAATTAATGTTGAAGATATGTGTGCTGTATATTAAAACAAAGTTCAAAAGAAGAGCATTTATATGAAATTGCTTTTTGTAACATTATAGATCTTTACTGTCACTTTTGATCTTGCGTATAATTTTTTTCAAAAATCACGTGTGTTGTGAATTAATTAATAAATGACATATATACCATATAACAAATGAATGTAATGTATAGTTAGAACCTTTTTACTTTTTAATGCATTCTCAATATTATAGATATTTATTCTGATCATATTGATAAATCTGAATATGTATTTTCAAATTCTACTATTTCAGCATAATATGCACATGTATTTTTTATATGTGTATGTGTGTGTGTGTGTGTGTGTGTGTGTGTGTATATATATATATATAAATAA